ATATTATCCAGACCACGTCCTGATGTGTGTTATAACACATTCACCGTAATTTCTGTGTTTATATATAGACGACCACTCCAGAGTGATTCTCGAGGATCAGAAGTCGGAACCGGGATCTGATTATATCAACGCCAACTATATTGACGACGTAAGAACTGATTCAACACATTTTGATATGCAAGTAATGGCTAACAGAAAAAATACAACAATTTCATATATTTGTAAACAAATAATAATAGAATAATAGAAATCTCTAAACCTGTGACATTTCAATCATATATGTGATCTTATGGTTCATGCACATGTGAATGCCAGGTTTTATAACAGGTCGGAATAGTTTTCCAATCAAATAATATATTTAAGTTGAAATAATCGGTAAAGGAGACCTCACTGAGGATTTAGCAACCCACTCAGTGATGTGATGTCAAATGCACAGACAAATATTTTTCTTTGTTGCTGACAGAATTGTTGACGTTTTATTTGTTCTGTAATTGAGAAAACAAAAAAGGTCTGATAACTACTAAGCAATACAACAATACATAGATTTACAGTTTATGATTGTATTTTTAGAGCACATCCAGATCAGAAGTCTACATTGCAGTGCAAGGTATCTAATTTCTCTCATACATGCCCTAGCTTGATTAGATGATAATTAATATAAGTGATATTTATCTTTAATAACTTTTTAATACGAAATAATATTCTATCACAACTACATATGTATATTCTTGATTCGCAAGATATTTATTTTCTCCTCTACTTGTAGGAAGACTCATTCGCCAACTAAACTATTTCATTAACATGTTGACTGTATCATTTGGTCTCCAAACCCATAATACTTCTTTGAAATCCGTTGGTAAAGTCTTTATATATATGAATAAGCAGAAATAACTGGTCTCCAAATAATGATGATAATGCAAGGAGAGTGAAACTTTAGTGTATATCTAGACGATACGTATTCTGATTAAATGCAAATTATAAAGTACGATTTTATTTATTGGACATTTTGATAATAAATTACACTACAAAATAATAAATGGATAATACTATCTTCTATCACTTGACCCATGTCGCGGTTATCAGTGATAATTGAAGGTTTTGTGTAGAGTCGTTTGGCACTTGTTAAATAATGTTTGCATTTATTTCGAAATTCATTTCAGTTGTTCAGTGAATTAATATAACACGTTCTGACAATGTTTTAAATGTAGGTCCAAAGAAAAAGACTTTCGAGGCGTTTTGGCTGATGATTTGGCAGCAAAAATGCCATACTCTAGCTATGTTGGCTAATTTATACGAAAATGGAAAGGTATATTATTAAACTTAAAGATAACCTTAGGTAGCAGAGTACAGTAGAAATGGCTTGATCCTAAAAAATACAGGGCATTTCTCAGATAAACATGGATAGCGGATTTATCCTGCACAATACACCTTCATATATATGTATATTTATAAACTACGTTTTGAAAACATTCATTTTAGAAGAATGAATTTTTGTTCAAAAAGTGATTTTCCCAGATTAGGGACTTGTGAAAAGCATGGTTACCACATCAACAAAACGCAAAAAAAAAATGGAAAAAACATGAATTTTGACCAGAAATTTGACCCACGCAAGTAGTATTTTTTTTCTTAAAACCTGTCCCAAAATTGAATATCACCTACTCGGTAACAGAAAGAAAACTACATGATAAGCTAGCTTTTATTGTGTAGATACAGATTTGTAAATGGCCTAAAATGTAGTCGCAAACCAAATTCGATTTTTGTTTTTAAATGTGAAGTCTTCATAGTCCACTTCATCATGTATATGCCAATTTTAGTGTTGATTCTTTTTTAAAACGTTGCTACATGTTATATTACACGGGATATTCATTGTAAAAAAATATCACCCATGGCCACCGTACACTACTGTACACTGCTACCTTAGTATAAGAAATATGCTAAATATTTTTATTTACGAAATCGTATTCAATAAAATATATAATTATTCATTTATTACCTATCAAATTTTGATTTTTATTTTAAAAATTATAGCATGAAAGAAAATGTTTTGTGTTTTTTTTTATAATATTGTATCTGAAACAATAAAACAGTGTATATGACCAAGTGTTTAATCTTAATATCCTTTAATCAGAACAAATGCTACAAATATTGGCCTAATATGGACGACCCGATCACCACGGCGACATTTGTCATCAACCTGAACTCTGAAAAACAGTACGCCTTCTATGTAATAAGGGTTATTACGCTGAAACATAGACACGTAAGTAAACATTGATGGTTCTGTAAAGTTAACTAGATTGCAAAATAGATACCAAATTAACAAATATATCGTATCTTTCCCAAGTTAACTTTATAAATTTGATAATAAACACCTGGCTATGAGGGTGATAGCAAGTGTGCCAGTCGTGAGGAAGGAGCTATCTTCTGAGGGAAAACACGGGAAAATAGTAAAAACCAAGGGTCTGACGCACTTTCATCCAAATAGCCGTGTGATAAACCCTTTGTACACAAGACATTCATGGTCCACATTATTTTGTATTATAATTAATAAAAGCGCTCTGGATAGCTTTGCCAGGTCTATATTTCTATTTCATCTATTCTCTTTCAATGGTTCGTCCATATCGACTTTGTTAACAATTTCATGATGATTTAATCACAATATGACAGTAGGCTAAGGTTTTCTGCAGCATAAAGGAATGTATCTGTATTTTTTTTAAAAACAACTCTCATCATTTGTCAAATGATTGTTTGCAATTGCAATTACGTCTTCAGCTGTTATTCGATTCGAATTGATATATTTTGCCTTTAGTTTTCATATGTTATTGTTTTTTTTGGAATTTGTCATACTTATGATCATATTGAGAGAAATCATTAAGCATGCCGATAATTGTTTTTAAAATAATAATTTATATGAAAATGAATGAAATGACGAGAGGTCAACAATAACATTATCAGCAATGATGTTTTGTGTTGTATAACACAGGAACGCAAAGAGCGGCAAATATACCAGTTTCACTACACAAAATGGCCTGACCACGACATACCAGATGTGTTTGAACTTGTCATGTTTCACCGACATTTGCAGCGTTTACGGACCAAAGGGGATGGACCACTGGTTGTCCATTGCAGGTACAAAATAACAAAGTATTATGTTTTGTCGTGAAGTCTTTTGTCCATATTTACCAGATGACAACATTTAATATTAACATTTTGTCGCACTCCTCAACATCCAAATGCAGAATACTTTATTTAAATGCATAGATAAAATCCATTCATTGACAAATGTAGATGTTAATTGTTTATCGAAAGTGGCGAGAGGAATACATCTGCTCATACAGTATACAAATGTTATATTTGTATACCGTTATTATCCTTTCTACATATCATTCATATGAATAAGTTTCATATTTTGTTTAGTGCGGGAATAGGGAGAACAGGAACTTTGATTGCATTGGACGCCTTGTTGGAAGCAGGGAAGACGGCAGACGTGATAGACATACATGGATATGTAACAATCATGAGGAATAATCGAATGAACATGGTCCAAACTGTGGTATGCCTTATATAAGGTTCAGTGTGTTTGCTAAATAATTATTACAATGAGCTTAAAAATGGTATTGTTAGCCTTGATTTCAACCCCCAAACTACATATTTAAAAATCCAAATGAAACATCAAATTAAGATGATGTATTTAAAGACATCGATATATAACTTGTCCTTTAGTACTCAAATTAGTACATAGCGACATGAGCTCAAAATAAGTCATTATGACCAATATCTTAATTAAGAAATAACAAAGGCATATAGATAAACTTCAGATATGTGCCATTTTGTAGCATTCAGTTCGGTCTCCAAAGAGATTGAAATGTAAAAATGCTATATATATGAACACATCCGCTCTATTGTCTTATTTCTGATTTAGAAAATGACGCTATATACTATTTTAATAACTAAAGCACAAGTTCAATATACCCAAATAATAGCTATAGCTGAATTCCTATTTCAAATCGGAATCTTTAAATATGACTTATCAGAGGGTTGAAATTGTGATGACTTACCAGTTTTTAAGGGGACAACTTTGAACCTTAAGATGAAGACAAGGAAGAGTAAGAAATACCCCCATTCGATCGTGCATTGCTACACAAAACGTCAATTATTCACTAAATCGTTTACAGAGTATGGAACGTTTCTGGTGTTTTAAGATATAGATAAGCCTGTCGTATAGTTAGTGTATGTAGTAAACGGAATAAATAATACATAAATAAATACATCACAACAGGAAAGACATTGGACAAGGTAAATGTGAGAATCATAACCGAAGATCATTCGACAGTGGTTGAGCTGTGTATTGCTATTTTGACTATAATTATATGTAGTAAGACGCTACATATTGCATTTAATGAATAATATTATAACGTCAACTGACCTCATACATCCCGTAAATGCAACTATAACTGTTCACTTAAAATGTTAAATTGAGTATCATAGCTATATTTCTACCTTCTCGACTTGCAATCAAATGTATGTCTCTGATTCCAGAATCAGTACAAAGCACTTCATCTGGCTCTCTTAGAAGGCCTTAATTTCCCGAACAGCCTTCAAACAAAGACAGATTTCACTAGCTCCGAGGACAGCAACGTCTATGAGATCCCTGCCAACCAAACACAACGCAACAAGGAATTCCAGGTACATCTGAAATATTTTAGACACATTCATTTTTTCCACGTTTTTCTTTCCCTTATCTTCTTTATCTGAAATTATAACGGCCTTTACAATATATGTTACAGACTCTTCAAGATGTTAATGCAATCAGTGAGAAACGTTTGAAATACGTTTTTGCCAAGTCTACAGAGAACAGGAACAAGAACCGCGACATGGATATTCTACCAGGTACACATCTAATTATTGAAGCAAGTACAGGTGTATAGCATTGCATTCTATCAAATGTTTTAAGATATTTTGTTTTTGTCTCTTTGATATCCACTCTAATGAAATCACTAATTGATTTACATTAATTTTTCACTTGATTTAAACAGTACTAGATGCATTAAAAGCTATTCTGGGCCAACGTTTCTTTAATGTATGTCCTGTTCACTTAGATGTATCATATTTATAAAAAAGGCAGATTATGAGCTCCAACCGTGTGTTCCTTAGCAACAGGCCTTGACAACTCACTCATTACATGCTCATTACTCATTACTGAGCAGTATACATGCTCATTCTTGCAATGTGTCTTACAAATTAATACCGTTTGTTTACAATAGAAACGAGATTTCTCACAAGGAATTATTTTAAACATTAAACTCTTTGAATAGAATAGAATCTGACGTAACAAAATATTGTTTTGCTTCGACGACATCCTCGATACTCCAGGGTTACACTCATTTACGATCTATGCACCCTGGTGAGCGAAACTCTTGGGGAATCACCTCTAAAAAGAAGGAAGACCGAATCGTACCGGATCGTAACTCTTGGCTAGCGAAGATGCTTTTACGATAGCAACCAATTTTTCGTTTAACCGGATACCTCTATATAAAGTAATAGAATAAGCGCCTGAATGGCATTCAACGGAAATAACGGTTTCTTATACAAAACCTTATTTCAAAAAACTCAAAAGATAGCAACCGATTTCTAGGCTTATCAATTAGTAACAAATATGCACTAAAAAGGGCACATTGATTGCATTCAATCGAAGTAACGGTATCGGATATAACAAGAAAAAGATGTGAACTTACATGACATTGTAATATTTAATGCAGTGATACCAAGGAAACTTATTTAACAACTTAGCAACAATACCACTGCAACCACTACTTAGGCCAACGTTTTTGCCGTCTATATATATCTTATTAGTCAAAACAACTCATGTTATTAAGCACGTGGTGTTGGAAAGTAAAGAAATATTCAAAATATACCATGATGTGATACTTGCAATGAATCTTCAGATTAAAAGACTCTTTCATATGTACCGGAGGTGGATAGAGAATTCCTCCCGAGGAGATCATAAATTAGTATCCCCGAGCTATAACTTTATAGCACAACTCCAAGTCAGAAAGTCATAATTTTTACAGTCCTGGTACCTGATCTCGCTTTTACCTCATTTGAAGATCGATGGTTGTTTGGTGCTAGTAACTTATTCATGTTCTTTGTCTAACGGTCCTAGTTTTATGTAATGTTTTTGTTGAAACTGATACTTTCATTCATGAATCTATCTTACTATCAGAAGGAAAAGGCAAAATAATCCATTTTGTTTATTTTACTAAACACATACAACTCTGATAAAGATTTATGGTAACATCTAAAATGCAAGATAAAATATGAGAGGATAACAAAATTCCTCTCAGATGAATGCTATGATCATTATTTCATGATTTTCAGCGATCATATTTAACATTTGGGGTAATCTTAATCATGGACAACATATCCTTGGAAAAACTCAAAAATTAAGAATATCGAAATGTACACTATTCTCTGATACTATGGGAATATATGTGCGCAAGTGCAAAGTGATACAAATATTATTTTATGCTTAAGAAGCAAGTTATTTACGTAAACTCTGGACATATATGTTGCATTTAAAATCCTATTTTAATTTGGGCCATGCTTATTAATGTTCCTTAATGCAGCTTAATTACAAATAAGCAAGGAACACAATGGTCACATTTATAGAATCTAACCAATCGCACTTTAGTCACATGCATAATTCATCGTCAGTGAAGCTAACTTTCTACGTTACATCGAATAAATCTTACATATTGTGCAGATATACCAAGAAGACGTTTACTTATAATTACAAACACTAAACAAGGTTCATGTATCACAAATACGTATCTCCTTGCATTCAGCTTGATCTAAATCTTATTCATTCAAATTGAAATTGCTACAGTAATAGAACCGTTTTATTTAAACATAAACAATGGCCCTTGATCTCAGCACCCTGACTAATAAAATGTTTGAGTCATTCCCATTGTTCGAAGTTTAAAGTAAGAAGCGAGAATATATTATTGTTAAAGTTGAACTGTTCTTTTTATTATGGATTTTTAATTGTATATCGTCTATATATCAGAAGTCTATAAATTCAATATTTGTGTTTGAACATTTTCTCTTATTAAGTCAATGCGAAAAACGCGAATATTTCCAAACCGAGACAGTTTCAATTTTTACAGTATGTTATATTATTTGTGTTTGTCAATTCAATCATAATTTCAATTCAAAAATGTTTAATTTTTCATGTAACAGGTGACAATTATAGAGTGGTCTTATACTCAAAGAATTCTCAGAAGAACTACATCAACGCAGTTAAACTTCCGGTACGAATACATGTAGTGACATAGCATATTAATTTGTAACGTAAATAGTATGTCAAGGTTTGAATGAAGATAGAATCCACATGTCTCTGTAATATATATATATTGAAGATATTACTTTGATTATCCGTAAAATACAACAAAGTACCATGTATTTATAGTTCTCGGGTGTGACAGATTATGGATTACACAACAAACCTTTACAATTCGTGTTTGATAATATCACAATTTGTTTTAACACTTTCTAGCGACCTGTTAAGATATTGTGTCGTGACATTTTATCGAGTTTATCACATTAAGACATTTTATTACAGTGATTATATCATTTTGATATTTTTTCCCTCATTTTTAAAGAATGTATCTTTTCAATATTTTACTTGTAAAAATGCAATTAAACATTTAATTGCTAAAGTTCATCGATATTGCCATATTGAAAACTCTATTAGGGAGCATAACTTGAAACAACATTATTTTAATGCATGAACACCAGAGCTTCCGGCATCACCTGAGATATCTAGTAACGCAATTCCCTCTGACTCATACGATTGTTGACTTCTGGACCATGGTGACTGAATATCGCTCCAGCACTATCGTCTGTCTGGAGGATTCTGAAGGTGAAAAGGTTGGTTGATATCTTAACAGGAACATTTACGGGTCTCTTTTTTCAAGGTTGATATTCTTTTCTTTTCCAGCAAATAAAATTTTGAAGTTCTGCCTGGTTCGAATCCCTCGGATTTTTGTCAACACCCAGGAGGAGATTTTTTAGCTGTTCTGTTATTTCGTTGTTGATTATTCGTTCATTAACTATAACATCCGGATATTATTCACCAATTATGGTGTGTTATAATCTAACATCCGTGACATTATTCAAACTATTGTGTTAACACGTAGGAGATATTCGCACAATCAGTTTCTTTCGTTATCAATGTCTCGTTCATTCAATATTACATCAGCGTCTTATGTATCAATTATAGTGTGATATGTTTTAACTCCGTGTTATATATTTTAACTCTTGTGTTATAATCGTGACAACCATGTCATATTTACTATCTACTTAATACATGGTTATACATAATATTTGTCTTCTCACAGATTCTCATGTGATTGATATGATTTGGAATTGTAGTTTACCGTATAATCAAGGATCCAACTCACTGTCTGTCCATTCTGCAGCGAACACATGAACGAAAAGTAGTATACGATAGATTGGTGTATCAATCGTTCAAACGAAGATATAAACAGATTTAAATAAAATGTTATCCAGTTTTCTCCTTACTTTTCAAAAGCGTGGTCGTTATTTGTTGTCAAATATGCGGACTTAGTAACAGACCATTTTGGGGACTATATGAAGCTCTGCGTATGTGAAGAACACTTTAAACCAACCATTAAATTAAAAGTTTAAATGAATTGGGAGAAAAACAATATGCATTTACAGTAATTCTAAATCAGGTCAAAAACAATTGTGTGCTGTTTTGTTAATCCCAGTAGGAACTTAAGTCGATGCGACTGAATAAACAGGAATTAAATCAATTGAAAGATGAAAAACTATTCTTTATAACAGGAAAATCCGTGGTTGCCCGCAAAATCCACGGTCAAGTATGTTGATGAATTTGAGATACGGTCAACGTCGGTCGAACAATGTGAGGATAACATCAATGCATCAATGCTGGAGATCAAAAACAAGGTGAATGCAAAAATTGTTTTGTCGGTAATGCAATTGATATAAAAATATATCAGTTTTACATAAGATTGATTTCTTTCTACGAAAGTTTTATTAGCACTGCATTATGCACATTTTGTATATACACCAATAACTGATTATCTTTATTATGTTTGGTTTCGTTTTAGCAAAGTAACACTAATCAACGTGTAAAGTTGTTCCAAGTCAGTAATTGGGCAAAAGATTCGTCCATTCCATCAAGTCAGAGGGTCCTGTGTAAACTCCATTATCTGGTAGAGGCATGGATGATGTCTCAGGAGGAGGGACCAATCGTGGTCACGTGTTTGTACGTCATCATTATAAAAACAATATCCTTTAATCATCTTATATGCTCAATAACATTGATATTTTCATGAAGAATTTCTGCTGAGAGACAGGCTTACTAATTAAGATTGTATTGAGTATACAACATAAACTCTGATAAGTTGTTATATATATATATATACTGTATATATATATTCATGATTTCATATCGTTTAATTTTCCCCCATAAAACAAGGATAAAATTGAAAGAAAACAAATCTGGAAGACTTCTTTACGTTTTTTTTTCTGTCAATAATATAATTTTAGAACTTTTTCTGTAAGTAGATATTAAAATGGGTATTTGATTAAGCTACAGAGCCATAACGGAAAGACTTCAAAAATAGAAATTAATTTTAGAATTTTCGCTGAAAGTGGATCTGTCTTGTTGTTAAGGGATGGAGCAAAACGCTGTGGTCTTTACTGCCTTATTAGTACAACGTTGGAGAGACTGGACATGGAGTCGGACATCGACTTGTATGCTACCACAAGACAGCTGCAGATCCGGCGTCCACAATTAGTTGCTTCTATGGTATATATTTCATTAACCACAAAATACAACACTAATATACATGTAGCAAAGTTATAGAAATATTTTTTGACACTTACAATTTAATTTATTTATATATAAAAAAAACTGTAAATAATATTTCACTTTTTGTTGTTAATTTTAATAATATTTTTCATGCGATTTTGCAGGACCAGTACCAATATACATTGGATGCTGTGAAAGCCTATCTTCACACTGTGGGCAACAGCTACTACGAAGAGTGCCAACACGAAGAGGCAGTTTATCAGAACAATCCATGATGTAAAGGGTCTCGGTATTGTGTCTCCGGAAACCACCGACACATTTCTGTGTTTAAAGCTTCTTACTAATACATCGATAACTGCAAGTTGATGATGATCATAATTATAATGTGATTCTGGGCATTTTCTCTCACTTTTGGTGAAGACAGTTTGATTTCACTTTTTGTTCAGAACATTTATGCACTTGCCTAGATAAATTACTTTGAGGATACATTTTAATTACCATGTATTAATGGAGGTACGGTAGTCTAGTGGTAGGACCGCGGACTCATGACCGAAGGTTTGTGTGTTCGCGTAACGTCACTGTGTTGTATCTTTGAACAAGATGTTTTACTCCGTTTGTTCCAGTCTACTCAGCTGAAAATCGGTACGTGGTTGGCCTGAAACCACCGACACATTTCTGTGTTTAAAGCTTCTTACTAATACATCGATAACTGCAAGTCGATGATGATCATAATTATAATGTGATTCTGGTCATTTTCTCTCACTTTTGGTGAAGACAGTTTGATTTCACTTTTTGTTCAGAACATTTATGCACTTGCCTAGATAAATTACTTTGAGGATACATTTTAATTACCATGTATTAATGGAGGTACGGTAGTCTAGTGGTAGGACCGCGGACTCATGACCGAAGGTTTGTGTGTTCGCGTAACGTCACTGTGTTGTATCTTTGAACAAGATGTTTTACTCCGTTTGTTCCAGTCTACTCAGCTGAAAATAGGTACGTGGTTGGCCTGAGCTAGAATTGTTGAAAACTAGCTATGAGCGCCGAAACGGAAGCACCGGCTGTATGCTCCCCACAGAGTAGGGAAAGATAATGGCTGGTTGCAAAAGCCCTATAACCACGGATGATAACCGCTTTGAGACGACCTACGAACTAGATTGTGATAAAGCTGTATATACAATGTAAGAACCTCGAGTTATTATTAATAATTTAACTTGCTATTGTAAAAAAAAATAAAAAATATTAGTGTTAAATAGAGGTTCTCCAACGAGTAATGGTTATCACGTGAGTCAGGTAAGTTAATTTTTAATCATTATTAGCTCGTCGGGTCCGAAGGACCAAGGTGAGATTTTGCCATACCGTGGCGTCCGTCGTCTGTACGTCCCATTTTCATTAAACGACTTCTTATTAACCACTGATTGGAATTAAATTAAATTTGACTGGAATCATACCTAGGTGGTGGGAATTCAAAATTGTACAAATAGTGTGACTGACCCCCAGGGGGCTGAGGGGCGGGGCCAAAGAAGATAATTTGGCTATATTGCTTCAAGCGACTACTTCGCTGGAACTGAGAGATGGATATCAACCATATTTAACTGAAAGCATCCCTAGATGGTGGGGGTTCATAATTGTACAAATGGCTGGGCTGACCCACCAGGGAGCTGAGGTCGATGCAAAAAGGGGGCAATTTGGCTATATTGCTATAAACTACTTCTTTAGAACTATGCATTCATTGGAGGCAGGGATTTAAAATTATACAAATGGTGGGGCTGACCCCCCGTGCTAAGGGGTGGGGCCAAAAAAGTTTATTACTTAGAAATGGCTGAGATCCCCACCGTAAAACCACACCCAATTGCTGAATATAAAAAGAAGAATACACATTTGTTTCCAGGATTGCTCTAGGGTCTGGCCCCACCCTTGAAAACATAGTCCCTGGGTCATAACTTTGAAACGGTTGAGATCCCCACCCCAGAACTATATATACAAAGGCTGGGCATAAAGAGACGAATGCAGTCATGATATTAGAATAGACCCTTGGGTCTGACCGAACCCCTATGGACCTAATCTCTTAGTCACAGCTTCGAAACAGTTGAGATACCCACCCTATAACCATATATACAATTGCTGAGTATAAAGAGATGAGTGCACATATGCTTCCATTATGGTCTTGAGGTCTGCCCAACCCTTGCAGACTTAACCCCTGGGTCATAACTTTGAAACGGTTGAGATTTCCACACCAAAACTATAAATACAAATGCTGGGCAAAACAAAACGAATGCAGTCATGCTATTAGAATTAATCCTGGGGTCGGGTCACAACCCTAGGGACCTAGTTTATGAGTCACAGCTTGGAAACATTTGAGATCCCCACCCCATAACCATACATAAAGTTGTTGGGCATGACAAATCTAATACAGATATGCTACAAGGATTAGCCTTGGGGTCTGGCATATTCCTTTGGGTCTCATTTGTAGAATATTTTGCCATGATTGCTTTGATATCCATGTGAGCGATAAGGCTCTCTGGACCTCTTGTATAAAAGACACGAGGTTTACCGAGTGTCTTTTACAATTTGAAAACTCACTAACGAGAATTAGATAAACATGATATTCAACCACTAGTGGGTAACAAGAATGTTTACCAAATCTTAGCAGATTAAACCAATGAGCCGGAAATGAGAAACCCAATAGAGGTTGTGGGAGAAATTGATGTTGGTCATTCTTAATTTTGTATAATATTTATCAATTACTATAAAGAATTATACTTAATAATATTTTATACTAAGCTATACTGTAAGGTTCATATTTAGAAATATGTTACATTTTCTGTACAATAAGGAATCACACGTATTGTATTATATTTGCCTGTACCGTAAATAATTTAAGCTCATGGTTCTCAACAATGTCCATGCCATGACCCATGGAGTCCTTATGGGTGAGTTGGGCTGCAGTAGGGCCAATCTTGGTATCGTGAGTGTTATTTTTTCACTGCATGCCCACAGACCTGAAATATGCTAAATAATTACATACACTTTTAGGATTAATAATTTCCTATGTGCTATATTTCGATTAGATGACACGGATCAAATTAATTAACTTTTTTCGAAAAAAAATGAAAAAAAATTGAGCGCTGTGGGGAATTTGTACTGAGAAAGGCAGCAGAATGGAATGACCTGATTAGTTGAAGGATTTCAATTCGACATGTTGAAATCTTGGAACAAAGAATTAGTTTAGCTAAATTATCTATTCCGTCTTTGCATATTGCAGAGTTATCTTCTCTTGGGAGCAGGGATTGATTGTTACGTCACTTGTTTGTGAGAGTAACGTCATCAAATTTTGAGAAAACGTCGTAATTTTCTCACACAAACCAATGACGTAACAATCAATACCTGCTCTCAAGAGAAGATAACTCTGCTTTTAATACGCAAAGACGGAATAACTAGTCGGAGACAAATATACATAAAATATTTACTATATATATGAAATTAAATCTTTGGAACGTGTTACTTACGATGCGACGACTTCGGCTAAAATATGTACATGTAACTGTTTAACTGATCTTGACTATTATCATGTACCCTTGCTAGGATTTGCTCTTTTACCTAAAGAAACTCATTTCTTTAAAATAACAATAGTGAATGCATTTTCATTTGTCTTATTTAGTGTGTGTTCGAAGTCTCATGTTGTTTTCATGTTTGTATCAATTTGAAAAAAAAGTGCTAAAGTTCACAAGGAAAGTTTGATTTACATTTCTATGAATCATGATGAGTTTTATTTCGCAAGTACAAAATGACCAAAGCCTACGTTAGATAAACCGTATTCACCATAATAAGAATTGATCCCTTCTCCTCATTCCAGACCTGACAGGCCCGGTCTAAGATTTATAGTATTTACACGGTGATACATGTATAACAGCAGTTAAGTTGCACAACTTTTTCTTTCTTACTCACATCCATTTCTTTTAAATATTAAAACGCAGGGATTTCAAATAACGGAGTCCACATTTCTTTAAAGCGATGTTAAAACATAGTACGTAGTAATAAAACATATTAACATTTCCGTGTGCTAGATTTTAAATTTGATGGTAATCATCTAAATACACACTGTATTGCTTTGTTCATATTTTACTATAGTTTTTATTGATTTCGAGGTTGAATACATGGATTTGCATATATTTTGGCATTATCTTACTTTTAAAACTATGTATACATATAACCCTCACACAATGACAGGTGTAACCTGTGTACGCAGTCTTTTCATTGACACTGTTCAGTGAGAGTCACCGCATTTCCTCATCACGAAAATGAAGTGAACTAATGGTGTGATTATAACAAAGCAACGAACATAAAGTGGATGCTGTATTACTAATAAAGAACGATTATCAACTTTTGTGTTATTCTTTTGTCTCATTTCCCCTGATATTAATATCATCTTTTTATTGAAAATGTAAGCTTTTCTCTTTTTTTCAAAATTCAAAATTAAAAGTAATGCAAACTATTTGTTCCTTCCGGGCGCACGGTACCTTCTTTGGAGGTACATCTTGGTAATTAGTTTGGCCATAGAGCTATCAAGCCTATTTACCTAGTCCTTCATTTTATCAATTAATTAGTTTGATGTTGTCACAATACAGAAAAATTGGCCCGGGCAATACATATCCAGAAGCCGGTCAACACAGGAAACGTCGGCCAATACAGAACAACAATACAATATTTGGCACGAAACGAACGCATCCCGACATTCGGAAATTCTCTACGTCATCCTCGAATGTTACAAGATGTGCATGGCCAGCTTTGTTCAATTTGAAACGGGTCGTATTTTTAAATGGAAATGAAGTATGTGAAAGTGAAAGTAGAAGTTTAGTGCCACCAAATATACGACTGGTTGTAGTGGTATTTACAATATTTTAAAAAAAGGTTAAGAAATAGGAGGTTTATAGGTGTAAGTGGAGAAAATGGTTATTTCTATGTATTTCATTACTAAAGGAAAGTAAATACTGTATTCATAACTTACTGTTTAGTCATTGAAATTTGTATATCCTCATTTGTTTCCATGATTGTACAAAAGTCTGTAACTAAAAGATGGGTTAGATTTTATTTGAGTTTATAGCCTGGAATGTTGTTTGATGAATAAGATCCCCTGCAAATAACCATATATATAATTGTTGGAAACACATATGATAAACGGTTTGCTCATGTATATACACCTGTAAAACCTAATCTGTTTTTGTATATACATGTTTAATTCTTGTTTGTGATAGTATACACACGTATAATACTTGTCCTTGAAAGTAACATGACAGGTAAATAACAATTTGACCGGAGCTTTACCTGGTCTGTGCCATACACAGAACTGATGTGTGATACCGTATGACCGTTGTGAAGCTAGACGTTTAGTATTTGCTATTTGCATTCGATTTGGCATATAGCTCCCATTCACCAAGATTTTCATAACAGGAAAAGCTATATAAGGGTCCATGTGAGGACAGCTACGGTTCAGGTACCTCTATAAAGTGGCTATGTTAACCTTTATACGAACAAAATTTAACAGTGTTGTAATTTTTCATGTGTCGATT